CAACGGATCTAATCTTTCCTACGTGAGTTCCACATTAAAAACTAGCAAAATGACGCCAGCTTTGTCAGATGGTCCATTAGTTTCACGCTCAGTCTCATTAATTCTCAAATACCAACTGACAAATCATCATTGGATCCACAAAACTGTGTTGTTTAGTCAGCGTACTATTTGCCTCCGATCCAGAACTGAGTCGTATCACTCGAGTTTGAGGTACAACGGAATTTGGGATTTGTAGAATCGTACTTTCCAAAGTTGTCCTTGCTAAGTATGGCCGTCTTGCTTGCGTCGAAATCGCAGGATCGAGGGTTAAAATAAGAGTCGACATGCAGAGGATAACTACCTTTTTTATACCCTGTGTATGCAGTGCAATTCACACACTCATTTCCCCGGATGTTGACATATTCGTAAGGTCGACAGGTGTCTCCTTTCAAGGGTACGTCTCTAATGATGTCTGTATTGCTTAATATGTTATCCACTGCGCTAGCTAATTAAGGCCACAATTTTCAATTAATTAATACTAATCGCATAACGTGATGACGTCATAAACGTAATTCACTGCATTACGACTTGCTAGTCAGAAGAACTGTGAGACACCACTGGATTTTGAACGCGACTACTACAAGCATGATTCAATAAAGGAGCTGTTTAAAACCGTGGACTGAGTTAATCTTCGACTGGCAAAATAATGTCAAAGTCCTCAAGCGAGGCTCTCAGGTAATCTGTGTATACGGTGCCATCTGTGTTGTATCGGCAAGTAGCTCTCCAGTGAGTCGAGTGATCTCTGAGCCAAAGGAGGTAGGGTTGTTTGATGAGGTAGGCCTGCCAATTTGGGGCATCACCACTGATGGCTTGGTAGTTATCGTAGAACACGATGTCCTTCTGTAGAGGAAGTAGAATTGATGAGGAGGTTATGATCATTGTCAAAAATGCCGCTTATGAAACAAAACTCATGGAAGCAACACGAGACTGAATGTATTTCACATTTTCCCGCTGAATGCGCTTTCGTCCTACGCTCATGTATTAGTTAACAAATAGAGAAGCCTTGACTATGCTTACTTTCAATTTTCAAAACAAACTTTATTTCCAAAGCGAACAACAGTGTC